TGAGCATTTTCACAAGTCCAAGCTCATTTCCTGAAAGATGTACCTTTTTTTTTTTTTTTTTTGTAGGTTACTTCATTAAAACTACTGGGAGACACAACAGCAAGGAAGAGTCATAATTCATGGTTCAAGAACTTGTAATGCATGAAGGTACTCAAATTTTTCAAGAAAAATGCTTATCTTTTACAACATAATGTCAAAAGACGCTTCCACAGAAAACGGAAGTTTAGCTGAAGTCCTACTTCAATATTTGCTTTTGGAGCAAGAAGCATCTTACCACTGTTTCTAAAAGTTGCTAGTGTTTTTTACCCCCTCTCCAGGACTTTCCCAAACATACAATAACCCTATACAAGAAAGTTACCAGAATTTATATTAATAGCTGGATATTGCTCCAGTGATCACATTTAGCATTATTTTTGAACTACTAAAGTTCCTTCCCCTCTTCTCATACTGCAAATTGAATTGCCTTTGTATTCATCCAATCTTCAATTAAAATCGGAGTCAAAGACATTTTTTTATATACACACAAAACTGCTCTTCAATGGCTGCTACAAATAGCCATTTAAGCCACATACTTGATACACAACACTAGCCAGAATTAATTACCAATTACAGAACGTAGATTTAGGACATCAAAGGCCTGGCAATTGGAATGAACCTGGCATTGCCATGCCATTCCAGTACAACATCCACCATAAAGCTCCAACTTCTGCTAGCAGCACTTGCTAACAGTAGATGCCGCTGTCCTACAATCTATTCAGGAGCGTTTTCTTTCCTATTGTTCAGCTTTATGTATGAGTGGGGAATTCTGCTTCATGTGGACTGAGACGAAAAATCAAAGTCACTATTATAATGAAGAGATAATCCTATAAAACTAAAAATCTTAAAGCGTTTTATAACATCCATAGCTTCTCAGGAAAAAAAAGTAGAGAGTTACCATGTTAAGTCCAATTGAAATCATGTTTTGTTTACATGTGCTTAGGTGTTATTACCCAAAAATAAGCAGAAATATTGCCTGTAGCAATCCAGATTAATATGAACCTGAAACATTCTGTGAGCTGTATTAATCATACACATAATTGCACATTATTAATTTCACTAATGTGCTTAGGTGAAATATGTCCACATCTTCTATTCCAACATAAAGCCAAGATTTATATATACATACCACAAAATTTCATTTTAATAAAGTTGTAATTATAAAACCTAAAGGGCTACACAGAACACATACTGACAAGACTAAAAGCAGACAACACACTTCCGAGACAGCAATTTAGACTTCTAGATGCAAAAATAATTACTGTATAAATTCTCTTAAGTTTGAAGATTTTTTTCTAAGAGTACTTCTGGGAAAAAAAGAAAAACCACCACCACTCCTAGGCCACATTTATGTGGAAATAACTCCATTAATACTTATCAATTCCAAACGAGCCAAACAGCTTCCTCTTTCACATACTTCTCATTCAGCTTTTACTACAACTCCTAATTTCCCATTCATTTGGCAAAGCAATATTCAGGAAAAGACAAAAGAGAGAGAGAAAAWTAAAAAGATGTCATAAAGCAGAGACAAGAGGAGTGAAAATAAGACATCCATCCAAGTTCCCAAATTACAGAAGAGTTCAAAAGTTTTATATCAGCCAGATTCTGGTCTTCTAGAGGGACTGTTGAAAAACTAGACCATGTCTAGGATTTATCCTAGAAAAGCTATAATTGAAGTCCATTGAAGACCAATTATAGTCTGACCATTTATAGTACGAGTCTTGCTTACTCAGGGTATTCAAGAGTATTCATCCAACTTTACTGTGGATACTTACCAGACTGAAGACGCCAGGAGAACATTCGTGCCTTTTGCCAAAAATGCAACTGGGGGTTCTGCGAGCATCAAGGAAGACAGGACAGACCCACCAAAGCAGGAAAGCATAGCACTAAACCAGCATGCTACCGGACTTCGAACTGACACTTCCACGGCTCCTGAAACAAAGGGAATAGATACATAGACCAAGTAAGCATTTGAGAATCACAGTGTGTTTGAAAAGTCACACTGTCCCACACTGCTGCTTTAAATTGTGAAAAGCCCTACAGAGATCTGTTGCCTTTCACAAGAAAAGACTCCAAGAAAGAAAAATTTGAGATTACATTCACTTAAGCATATGTTGTATACATCAACATGAAACACTGACACTGTGTTCTTCAAATATCTTTTGTGAGCGAGTTCAGTACACTTATTTCTCTGTTCTGGAACATGGATGAGAAAGTTCACTGTTATTAATTCAGGTAGGTATAAAGTTGCTTGCAATTTTGTATTAAAAGTAAACAAATAGCTCGCCTGAATTACACAGAATTGCTTATACCAAACCTCCCTTCCACAGCATCTTTTTTTTTTTTTGAATTATTTTAACTCTACTTCAATACCATTGTTTTTCTCGTTCCTCTTAAATTTCTGTGTTTGCTGGCAAAAATGAAAGCACTATCCAAAACAATCAAGCAAATACAGTTTCACCTGCACTCCTGCAGAATTTATCTGTTACATTAATTATCCTTTTTAAATTCCTATTCAATTATACAGAAGAGCTGCCAATACAAAAACTATGTTGAAGCAACAGGAAAGCTAAACAAATTCCATGAAGAAATAGTCGCATGTGACTATTTTGCTCTTTCCTCTCACTGCATAAGTCAACATATCTTCCACTTCGCAAAAATGAAGAGTTCTGTTTGCTTGGACTAATTCCATTTTCATGGGCCACAGGTTATAGTTCGCAGAAGTAGGAAATGAAACCTATTAATCACCCCAAAATGAAACCTGATTTTTGGTTCAAAAAAGCAATGAAGAAGCCTCTGGTTTTGATCATGGAAAGACAGAATCACAGAGTGGTTGAGGGTGGAAGGGACCTCTAGAGATCATCTAGTCCAGCCCCCTGCTCCAGCAGGGACACCCAGAGCACAGGACACGTGGCAGCATCCAGGCAGGTTGGGAAGATCTCCAGAGAAAGAGACTCCACAGCCGCCCTGGGCAGCCTGTGCCAGGGCTCTGGCACTCTCACAGCCAAGAAGTTCTTCTTCACATGGAGATGGAACTGCCTGTGCTGCAACTGGTATCCGTTACCCTTTTTCCTATCACTGGCCACCACCATGAAGAGTTTGGCTCTTTCTTCCCTGCATTCTGCTCTCAGGTATCTGTACACATTGATCAGATCCTCTCTCAACCTTCTCTTCTCCAGGTTAAAAATGCCCAACTCACTCCTCAGTCTCTCCTCATATGAGGGATGCTCCAGTCCCTTCATCACCTTTCTCGCTCTCCGCTGGCCCCTCTCTAGAAGCTCCACRTCCCTCTTGTCCTGGGGAGCCCAGAGCTGCCCCCAGTGCTCCAGGTTTGGCCTCCCCAGAGCTGAGCAGAGGGGCAGGATCCCCTCCCTGCCCTGCTGACAACATCCTCCTCATGCAGCCAGGAGCCCATTGGCCTCCTTGGCCACGAGGGCCCTGCTGCCTCATGGGCAACTTGGTGACCACCAGGACTCCCAGGTCCTTCTCCGTGGAGCTGCTCTCCAGCAGGTCGACCCGTAATCTGTGCTGGTGCCTGGGGTTGTTCCTGCCCAGGGGCAGGACCCTGCACTTGTCCTTATTGAACCTCAGGAGGTTCCTCTCTGCCCAACTCTCCAGCCTGTCCAGGTCCCTCTGGATGGCAGCAGAGTCCTCCGGAGTGTCGGCCACTCCACCCAGCTTGGGATCATCTGCAGACTTGCTCAGGATGACTCTGTGCCCTCGTCCAGGTCATTGATGAACAGGGTGAACAGCAATGGGGCCAGCACTGACCGCTGGGGGACACCACTGGCCACAGGTCTCCAACTGGACTCGGCCCCATTAATCTCCACCCTCTGGGCTCTGTCATCCAGCCAGTTCTAAATCCACCTCACTGTCCACTCATCCAGTCCACACCTCCGCAGCTTATGAATTTTGATGAATTTCTGCAGGAAAAAACAAGACCATTCTTACCCAAGATTATATATTCAAAAATGTCAAAGCGAATTCTGCATTGTCTCTGCAAATCATTTTTGATGTAGCATTCACAAGATGTCTCCAGTTTTAGCACTTTTACAGGTATAAAATAACTCAGCGCCATCTGAACTCCTTCCAGGTAAAAGCCAATTTATAAAAATAAACAATTATGACAGGCTATCTGAATACAAAATAATATCTGATGTTATATGCATTTCATGATTTGTTTTCCATATTACAGTACCTCAAGTTCTAAGTCAATTACACTGAATTTAGTTATTTTAGAGAAACAATGATACACCAAAATGATGTTGCTTATATGTCAAATATTAAGAGAAAAAGTTATACAACTCCACCAATGTTACTTAACTGCAGATGTAAAAAGATAAAGTGACCCATTACATTCAGGTCCCATGCAAAATATGTAGATCTATTTTCATCAATGTATTTGGAAAGAGTAAAATACTTATAGAATATTAATGAATTGTACCCATTACACTAAGATTTCTTCAACAATGAAAGAGCAAAGTATCCAAAATCGCAAACAATCTTTGATTGCAGAAAAAAATGCAAAATATAGTAAGTTGAAACTCACTGATTCCTACAAACTCTGGTAGCTTGCTTACCACAATAGTTAGTCCATTTTTGGTGGGTGACTCATTTGAATTATATACTGGCTATAGCATGAAAAGGCAGGATTCACTTAGAACTATTAGACCACAGTATCTTTCCCCACATTGGACACTACTCTCTCAAGTAACTACTCTAGTTGTTGCGGTGACATTACTGAATAAAGTTAGCATTTTCAGGAGAAACACTGCAAACTTGAGGGGCGAACATGAAAGCCCAGTTAAGGGAAGCAGCAAGTGCACATCACAAGCCACAGCAATCATGTGCTAGAACTGTGGAGTACTGTTACTAGATCAGCTGTTGCATTATTCACAGGCTTCAACTCCTAGACCGATTTAAATCAGAACAGCTTCCAGTAACCTGTTCCTGGAGTGAAACTGATATCCAGATTACAACAGGAGGTTCCCCATCCAAGAACTGTCAGCATCCAGACCAGTTAAAAAACATATATATAACTTACACTACAGATATTTGTCATTAGATAGGGGTATGACAACTTGTTTTATTAGTAAGATTTATTCTTGTACTAGCAGTGAAGTAAACATGCCCTCATCAGAAGCATCAGATCACCACCATTATCCTACACTGGAAAACAGCTGAAAGCAGGGGAACTACCAGTGCATTAGACACTGCTTTGGTCAAAACATAACACAAGAAAAGGAAAAATTCCAGATGTTTCTGTCACTTTTGACATTTGACAAACTGCATTTAACTTTTTTTTTTTTTACATGCATGCATGCAAAAAATAGTGCAATTAATTAGACATACCTAGTACCAAAGATTATCAGATTCAATAAAGATTAAATTTTTGTTTCTGTTGTTCTTTTGTTATTAGTTTCTAGACCAAATTGTCTATTTTCCTACACAATCTAGGAAAAATATTTTAATGATTTTTTTACTTCATACACTAAAGCTCAGATTAAAAGAAATAAAATTTAATGGAATATTAGAATCAGCTACTTGTTTCTAACAGGTGAAGTTCTCAACTCCACCTTCTCTCAGCAGTCAAGGTTTCTCCACCATTCCTTCACCACCTCTAACAGGAAGCAGTTTCCAATTCTGAGGCCACCGGTTATTTTCCAAAAGCTTCACGGCCTAGCAACAGCAGTAGCTGCTCTGAAGCAGGAAATCTTTGGATAAATTATTTTCAGACTGCAGAGTTACTCTTCAGCAGCAGTGTTTAACAGTAGCAAAGACCACAAACCTGCTGGAGCTTAAGGCAGATCAGAGTCTTTGCTCCTCTCCGGCTGCCTAGCAAAGCATCTAGGTGCATGCCCAGCATACTGCCCTGCACACACCAGCACCAGAGTTGCACTGCACGACATTTCATCCTCTCCTCAGCTGCAGCAGCAGCAGCTGGAAAGAAGGAATTGTCTCCTTTCTGTCTCTTGCTGACAGCTCTATCTTACCTCCAAAGATGCTCCTAGTGAGCCCTGAGGAGAGCAGTGCAGTTGGAAACCAAGCACACTGCATGAGCATTGTATTCAATTCTATAACTGCATTGTATTCATCAGCATTTTTTGCCCCATTGTTTTTTAAATTAAAATACATCTGTCCTCCACAAGCCAGTTTCACACCAAAGTGTGTAAATCTCTTCATTAAAGGACCAAAGATGGATAATTCTACCAGACTTCAGGATTTTTCTGGCAGGCAGCATTATAATTGCTTAGGCTCAAACACCAGTACTTACTATTCTATAACCGCATTGTATTCAATTCTATAACTGCATTGTATTCATCAGCATTTTTTGCCCCATTGTTTTTTAAATTAAAATACATCTTAGCCTTGCTCTCTTAACTATGAATGGCAGGCAGCCTTTCAGAAAACTGATTTGCTTTTAAGTAGGGCACACATGGACAAACAAGTGGTCATCTATATTTGTCTTCTGAAGCATCCTGTAAAACAAATGAGGCATCAGACAACCATGTAGGACACAATCTGCCAAAAGGTCACTATTTCTTCAAGAGGTATATTTTAGAAAGACAAGGTTTAAAATTTTGAATGCAGTTTTAGATGCTGCTCCTTTGTTACAATAATAAAAACCTTGCTAGAGAGCTATTTTTGTAAGCAGGATAACATCTGCTTTAGCCTTTTCAGTATGTTCTAAAAGTACAATCAGGCTAAAAAATAAACTAGAAAGACTTTTAAAAGTATCTCTGGCAAACTTTTTCTAAAAGATTTTCTTGTTTGATTACATGCATCATAAATTAAAACATTTAAAAGGTCATTTTAATTTAGCAAGAATATGGCAGAAAACATCGATTCTCTTCAAATGAACTGCAGATGCCATAGAAAAATTGTGAAAAAAAAAAGAAAAAAAACCACTTCTATATTTTGAGTAAATGCAGCTAAAGAATACAACCACTCTGAGGCTGTCACAAAACCTGTTTCTCAAAGAGTAAGAATTATCTATATTTAAAAAAACATATTGAATCATGCAACTTTTTGGACATATTTCCTCAATATCAACCACCTTGATCCTCAAAAAAAGAAAAATGCCAGTTCCACTATTAACTAGGTTACTAATGATTAACTCCAAAAGTAACTTCAAATATCCTAACCAAGAACTTAACAGTTTCATACCAGTGCAGAGCAACATGTTGCTTGACATTGACTGCTCCTTGCTATTACCAAAAACACAGCAAGATAATCTTACCAGAAAGGCTAGAAAACCCTCAGAAATTATATGCCAACCTATGACACAAATATTGACACTGAATCTGATCTTAAGCTGTTTTAAGGTTTGTGTAATAGGAGGACTGCAGATAAAGACTGGGATAAAACAAATTTCACTCTGACTTTATCACCAACCTCCTGTGACTAGCACTTGCTCAGAATCCCAGTTCTCCATGCATGAAATACACATACCCTTTAAGTTTCTAAAAAAGAACAAACAAAAAACATGTAAGGTCTAGAGCATATTAATCAATGAGAATACTATCCAACCCAAATATTTTATAATTATTCCTTTCTCAGTTACAGTTTAATATTAAGATGTTCAAATCACTTGCAGGTGAGCAACAGGCCAGTAATGTTGCCACCGAAACAATGGCTAATAGTTCTGAATATTAGAGATACCCAAAAATTCTAAACTTTCCAACTATTAGTCTGAGAAGGAGAAAAAAAAACATGTTAATGACACAGATCTGACTAGCTTCTGGCAAAAGCTCAACTGTTTGGAAGTGGTGTCTTATTAAAGAGATTAGCAAGGTGGAACAAATCCTCCCATCCTGGTATTTAAATCTGTGTCCCCTCCAGAAGAAAGTATAAAGGAAGTATAATGCTAAACAGCTTTAGATAGAAAGAGGGTTTTTTTTTTTTTTTTTTTTTTTTTTTTTTTGTACAGAACAGTTTGGCTAAAGAGTGCGAGAAGTCAGCATCCAGAAATAATTTTAGCACTTGTAACAAAGCTTTGGTATGTTTGCTCATGATTAGTCTTTATGTTTTCTAACCACACTTACCAAGCAGGAAATGAAAGTTAATCTTGATCCATTTAGAAAGGAACCAAAGAATGAACTCTCACTAAAAAAAAGACAGCGTAAAGCCTTAAAGTAAGGAGAAACTCCTCAAACCTGCACTGCAGTCGTTTCAGTTTCCTAAGCAGCTTCCACTGGGATGCACAATATCACTCCACAAATTCTGTGCATTTGAACAAGATTAGTGTCCACACTTGTGACAACTACCAGCAAGATTCGAGATTCATAGTGAAAAAGGTTGTCTTGAGTAAAAGCAATGTGACCCAACAYGTCATCGCACGCACCCAATCAACCCCCCCTTTTCTTCTAGGAGTGAAAGGGGTTTTTGTTCATTTGKTTTTTTTTAATTTTAGCAGCTACAGGCACAGCATGTAACATACACACAGCCTCACCATGCATTTGCTGCAGGACAGAGAACAACAGCAAAGACTTTCTGCTTAACTAGGAGAACCTGCAGGCTCGGCAGGAAGCTCCYGTCTCACCTCCCAGGCGTCACACCTGAGAACTGCTACTGATGTGCTACCMGTGCTGCTGCTCAGCACACACAACACTCACCTTCACTTCATACTGAAACTGTTCCTGCACTCGGGGCTTTTTAACCAAAAAACGTGTTTCCAACAGACACCCTGGCCGACTCAGTCATGCCTCAGGTTTGGGGGAGGCAGGGAATGCCTGGCAGGGCACCTCCTGTGTGACTTTTGCAGCTAACTGAGGGTACTCACACCAGTGCTGACCGCAGACCGCGATCCCTGTGGATTAGGGAAGGCACTGGGAGCCTTGTTCCCAAACACGGGCAGTCCGAGCAGGCCCCGCCAGCACRAGGCGCTTGCCTAGGAGCTGACCCACGTTTCCACCCGCTCCATTTGGTGTTTCCACCCAAAGGCTCAAGGCTTTCCGCTCGGGCAGCTCTCGCAGGGCACAGGGAGCACCCACAAGCTCTCGCTCCACCAGACCCAGCCGGGGAGCACTGCAGAAGGAGCGAGGCTCGACCACTTGTACTCACGAAGAGTAAGTAACACAAGGGAGGAATAAACAACAGTAACAGAAGCCTGACGCTGTCGCACAGGGCCCTGTCCAGAGCCCCGCGGGGTCCCCGAGCCCCTCTCCCACCCCCGCACACCGCCCCGCGCCAACCGCCCCAACGGCCGTAACGGCCACGGCGGCCSCTCACCGCGCTGCTCCTTCAGCGCCACGACGGAGGCCACGTAGTGSGCCAGGTCGAAGAAGGGGAACATGGAGAGGCGCGAGAAGAGCAGCGGCACCTGCCACAGCTCCATGGCGGCGGCAAGGGAGGCGGCAGCGCGCGGCGAACCTTGAGCCCCGCCGGCCGCCGTCGCCCAACGGCGGCCAAAGGGGGCGGGGCCGCGGGGCGGGGCTCCAACGGCCGCGGAGCCGTTGGGAGGGGGCGGGGCGGGTCCAACGGACGCGCGGGGGCGGATTGAATGCCGTTACACACATATATATATATATATTATATATGATGCGTATATCCATGAATAGGCACCCACACACAAACGTATACGATGTGCAGGTCGCTTAGTCGGCACAAGTGTGACAGCACGTCCTCCATCTGTGCTCTCAAATATGTTCCTGCTGGGAACTAGGGAGATAACAGTTACGATCGTTTCTAGGTTTACGCAGGGAAACGTACCTAAACTTCCCCCTGAAATTTTCCTTCTTCCCACCGCTGCTGTATTTATAGAATTATTCCCAGGGCCTCCGCACGGCTGGTTGCCCATTTGATTTCCTCCCCAATTTTCACACCTTGTCTCTAGTTTCTTTTTTTTTTCCCTGTCCAGAAAACATCCCATCTTTCCCATCTTTCATTTTGCTTACACGAAGAGCTCATGAAAACCCTCAGGATGAGGGTTTCTACTTCTCGTTTCCTGTGTGTGACATGGTAATAAACGAGTGGGCTGCTGGACAGCGTGCCCTTTGCAGTACTGATCAGCTCCCACTGAGTGGCATCGGGCTCATTGCTAGAGAGCAAAAACTGTTCAAAACAGCGTGTGATCAGGGGAGAGTGCAGCGGGGTGAAAAACAGCAACGACCCCACTGAAGATACAGTCACACAACCGGGAGACCTCAGCGGGGGCCGGCAATGCCTTCTRCCTGATGGACATGCCTGCGCTGCAGCCAGCCAGTAAATAAAGTAACATTAAAGACAAGCCTGCCTTTAAAATGCCTAGGTACTGCCAGTGTTACCGTGCGGATGGAAATAGCTAGATGAATCCGTACTCACACCCTAGAAGAGATAATGTGTCCTCTTGCAGGGCGCCTTGCCACCTCGGAGGCATCGCTTCCCAAAGCAGAGCTATCCCGGGGCAAGGTGAATCCCCACAAGCCGCCCTCACGGCACTTCAGTGGAAAACAGCTTTGCTGACAAACTGGCACTGGAAAGAATGTGCTTCTGGTGGGGGCTCTGCCTTCCACAGCCACAGAAAATAAAAATAGCTGTTGCTCTAAGTGTGCTRTTAACAGAGAAGAGATTCCTGACACGCCTGTGCGCTCAAGGTAATAATTTTGTATTAATTCCTCATCTCATCAGAGCAAAGGACAGAGGTTTCTCCAAAGAGAAATCAGATGCGACAGAACACACTCTATGTAGTAACAGTATATTAACAAATAAGAAAGCATAAGGTGGGCCWATGATTTTCCTTCTGTCCCAGATATTTCAGAAATAATTTAAAGATAGCAAAGCAGGAACAACTTTGAAATAATTCTGTCCATCCTTGGACCAAATATGCTGATGCTGAGAGAACTGTAGCAGTGTGGGAGGACAGTAGTTACACAGCTTGTGTGATATTGTTATGTTTTTTTAATTTCAAAATGGAGAGGCAGAGTTCTTATTTTCTATTTCCTAAGGGAAATAAAAGGGGTTGAGCACACTGTGCATATAGGTGATTTAAAGCCTGGCTCAGGAGTATTCTGCTTGCTTGCAAAAGTGTGAAGCTTATCATCAAAACAAAGTGTGAGCCAGGCCTTACTCTCTTGACCAAGAAATGTTAACATAAAAAAAAAAAAAAAAAAAAAAAAAAAAAAAAAAAAAAAAAAAAGAAAAAAAAAAGAAAAAATCATTCTAGGCACTTCCAAATTAGCTCCCAAGCTTCAGCATGTGCTAGGGTATTTTCAGCAGGATTAGTTGCCCTTCATATTGGGACACTGAGAAAGGAATTCAAATGCATTCTGAATTTGCTAAAGACAAGATTCCAAGTATTCATGAAGTAGCCACATATTTATTTCTGAAAGAGCTGTGGAAATTTCAGACTTTGAGATGCTACATGACTGTTAGATATTCTTGACTCCCTACATGTCATAAYCAGCACCAGACAGGCCACTGCTCTTATTCCATTCCTGTAGAAATTGAAACCATTTCCTAACCACCAGGATGGCAGAGAGTAAGCAGAAACTTGATTCGGAGGTGAATGAATGTCCACATCTTTAATATCCACAGAGTATCACATCAGTAACYGGTAAATCTCTAGAGCTTGCAGAGAAGCTGAGAATAACATGAGCTAGAGCTGTCACAACTGATTACTTTGTTGTGCTCTTATGATTGTTATGCTAATGTTTCATGTCTGAAGAGGAGGGCTGTGTACATAGAGAAGAGGCTATAGCTGCTGGTATCAGTGCTGTACGTGGGATATGTTTTTGTAGTGTTTTATTTCTTAATTTGTCTGGGGTTACAGTGGCATTGACCTGAATGCAAAAATAAAAAATTAAAAAAAAAAAAGAAAAAAAAAGAAAAAGGGCCATAGGGAAAAATAAAAATAATGCAAACAAGAAAATACTTGAGTCATCAGTATGCCTCCAAACACACATTTGTATCCTGTATCTTCTCCTCTGCTGACTGGATTAAATTTGCCCATTCTAGAGCATCTCTGAAACTCAAGTCTGCTCATCACAGTCAAGTTGAGTTACGAGTAATCTATCTTTGCCACACACAAAACTGGGCATTCCCATTGTCTGCTTTCCTCCTGTCTTGTTTTATGTGGTCACCTGCCACAYGCTATCCTTCCTTGTCCTCCTCTCCCTCAGTTCTTCCTCTCCTCCACAATTTTCTGCCTTATTCACATTCTGCTTCTCTTTCCCAGCATATTCTTCCAGTCTGTCATACCCCTCATCTTACTTTGATCTTCCAGTACATTTTTCTGTTTCCTTTCCAACACCATTTATATTAACTTGGCCAATTTCTTTAAAGCTTTCTTTTCTCACAGTTACATCACATTTCCAGTTACACTGATTTTCTTTCTTGACGCATGCTTTCTGGACCTGACAATCTGTGCGTTCATTTTATCTGTTGCTTTATTATTATTGATTTATTCCACTGAATACTTTCAGGGAATKCTTTGACCTCACATTC